GACCAACTCTATCAGAAGGAGCTTTATAGCCACTGAAAAGTAGAGAGTGCTGCGCGGCAGGAGTCAGGGACTGTTTTGCTCAACAAGCCACGCTAAATCGAATAATGAAGTAGTTGACATTTTTTACTTGTTTTGAGAGCGAATTAGTAAAGGTAAAACACTCTCTGTAGTATGTACTTGTTGGATTATTATTAATATTATTTATAATATGTATGTAATATGTATTATTGAATAGAATAGCCATTTATTAATTATTATTAATAAGTCTCATTATTATTTTGCATAAGTAAATAGAAATGCTACACTAGTGTATTGCGACAATCCTGTAAAAATAGTCGTATGTAAAAATAAACAAACACAATAATTATTACATTTCAGAGGAAGGTATTATCCACTTTATTTAGGTGTTATACACCATAGTAGAGCTCCTTGTGAAAGAGTTCGTCCAAGGAGGTACTGCCAACTTACCTATTTCTTCCACCAAGCAGTAATGTGGGCATTGCTGCGTTTCGGTATTGAAGGGTAAGGGTGCTGGTGAAATTACAGGCAAATGAGACGTGTCAACTTATGTCTCAGGGTGACAGGCGCAGTGGAAGTACTTCTCAGATCTTTGCGTTTTAAAGCTAAGAGTGGCACTGCATCCGTTATGGACAGGGGTGTCGCTTACCACCAGGCACATGACTTGTTCGTCCTGTCACTTGATATTATAAAAAAAGGCTTACGAGTATAGCTTCTTTGAAGTTTACACAACAACCAGTAAGTAAACACAGAACCTATTCCGATACTTTTTTACATTCGTGGACAACAGGAACCCTCTTTCGAACGAAGATATCGACGTTAATCATTTTAAAAATTATTTGATAGGTTCAAAAATAAGACGCTGAAAGAGATAAAAATAACATTCAAATTTTATATCACCACTATTTTATAATACCACTGTAAATGGAGAGTAGGTGTATCATAAATTAGATTGAAATTATAAACGGTCACTTTTCATTATTATCAAGGTTGTCAAAATTAATTAAAATCAAGTTTCATTACATACATTTTTGGCGATTAGTGCAAATCTATCACGCTTAATATAGTATGATAATATATTAAAATCCGTAAACCAGTCTCTAAGATTAACAACGTATGAAATTTTATACAGTTCACAATATATAAATTTAGATCTACGTCCACCATTATGGACTGGACAATACATACAATGATTTAATCTATTTCTAATTTGATACCGCTGCCTTCATACATTAACGCAGTTAAGTAGTTAAATTTTGAACTAAGCAGAGCAAGCAATAATTATCAACTTCATGTAGTCGAGGTCTCGGATAACTACTTCACGCATTCACTGCATGCAGCCTTAAATTGCATTAAAACCGAGTTCATACGGTAGTAATGAAAATTTAAAGAAATTATAGATCGTGGTCTCAAAATTTTTTTTTACAATTAGACAAAGCATATAAATAAAGAAGCTGTGATTGCTAACCTTTTTCTTCAAACAACAAATTATAGTAAAAGAAAATGACAAATGACATGACAATATGCTATTTTTGTAACAGTAGCGCTCCTTGTGAAAGAGTTCGTCCAGGGAAGTACTGCAACCTTGCCTATTTCTGCCGCCAAGCAGTAATGTGAGCATTTCCGGTTTCGAAGGGTAAGGATACTGGTGAAATTACTGACACATGGGACATGTCAACTTATGTCTCAGGGTGTCGAGCGCACCTTTGTGATTTAAAGCTATGTGGCACTTCAACTGTTGTGAACAGCAGTGTCGCTTTCCACCAGGGGCACGGCTTGCTCGTCCCGTCACTTAATTATTATATGAAAAAATCCGTTTGATTGTTTAAACCCCTTCTTTAACTTTCTAGACTCTACACTCTGTCAGCTTAAAACAATCTTAGAGACCTCGTTACAGCTGTACATTCTCTGAGTCTAAATTATGTTGTATTACATAGTACAAAACTCAAAAAGACATTAAGAAGTATTTTGCATTAAATTTTTTAAATCTTCATGATTAATTCAAATTATTTAAATTAACTTATAATTAATACACTTACTTGTAGAATGTTTATTTTTAAATTATTTCTTCTTAAAAATAAGTCTCTTTTCTGGTCATGATTTCTAATTGATTTTTATATTTACAATAGTACATGGACTTAAGACATCTGACTACAATTTGTACTAATACATGCATATTTGGTACATTAATTTGAAATATTTTAAAGGAAAAACTTTGATATTAAGTCATCTAAGTGTTAGACACTAGGTTCAATTTCCAGAACCAATGCATAGGTAAAGAAATGGCGCATAAAAGGGAGCATTGAGCATTCCAAAATCTTATCACATCACTTTTACACTTAGATATGACACCTGCCCCTCAGTCGACTTAGGCGCTGACACTTTATCACAAGTCTTATGCGTTAAATATTGGATTCCATTTGGATCACAGGATGATATCGAGTGAACATATTATAAAAAACAAAACAACTAAGTTAAATATATATTTATATGTACATATATTTATGTAGGTATAATATATCGTTATTTATTAACTATTTGATACATTATTGTTTTTTTATTATACAATTCTTTTTTTTTGTAAAATGGCACACTACGTCTCCCGCTCCGATTAGCTTTCCTGTACCTCAAAGGTCGTCTGTAAGAGATTGCTCTTAGCGATAAGACCGCCTTTGCCCATATTACTTTTAAGTTGTTTATACTGTTCTTGGTCTTGTGTGTGAGCCATTAATTGTTTATCTATCTAAGTTTAACTTTAGATTCAGAAATATCCTCTGGCTCCTTAGAAGACAATCCACCTTATCTCTAAGCAATAAGCTGAGAGTGTACTGCAGTGCAATAAAACCGATGTGGACTTACGGGATACAATTGTAGTCATCAGCCAGGAGAACAAATTTAGTTTGCCTCCAAATAGCCCAAAATAATATTTTCAGGGTATTAACTGCTGCAGTCTGGTATGCTTGCAACTCCGAAATACACAATTATTTGGAAATTATAACGGTTCTCGAAGAAGCTAAACTCTATAAAGTTCACAACAGGCATCGACTAGGAATTCATCCTAACCCATTGTCCCACATACTGTTGCTGCTAAACCCAATTATTTCTATTCAAAATCTGAACAAAACTGAAAAGAGCTCATATGCTGTGCAAACAAGAGGAGATAAGGCAATGACCTTAATCTTCTGGAACGCCCTATATCTTCCAACTCATCTGATAACAGTTTATTTGACTGATTGCAGAATTCGAGAATAAATAAATAATAATTTAAACGTATTTATTAAAAATTTTATTCAATTATGCAATTATAATATATAATTATTTAATTGCGCAATTGTACATAATATTAAAGTTAAAAGTACATAACGATTTTATTTTATTTGAATTTAATTCATTGTGATAAAAGATGGCAAGAAGCAAACAAAACTGACGCATAATTACGAATCTCACGCAAGGTCGTATTGGAACCGCAGGAAAATTTTGAGGTTAGAAACACATTTTATAACTCAAAACTAAAACTTATCTCGTGTTTATTGTAAAAAAGCGCTAAAATGCATTAGACGTATCCTCGTTTTTATGTAATCAACAACATATTGCGTCGAAGATAAGCAACAATAACAAACGAAAATTTCAGGTTATAACGTGAACAACTTTCGACTAACCTGCATTGAATCCGCGCTAATAATCTCTGTTCCAAACTTTTGTGCTAATTCCACACCGAGTTTAGTCTTTCCTGTGCCAGTTGCACCTAAAATTATCACCATGGGTAACCGCGAAACCATTATTGTTCGAAAAGCCATCACAATTTGGCAAACGCGCGAACTTCACTGTTGTTATGACGTATGCCAGATGAAGCAACACGTTCCGTTTGTGGCAACGGCGATGGGCTATACAGCACATTTTCGGAAAGACTTATGAAGCGATACACTTTGTATAGACATTTAGTTAATGTGAATCTAAAAAATCAGTCAATGTATTAAACAACGAATGTTTTTGTTTTGATATGTGTCGGAATATCACAACCCTCCAAGTCAATGTAATATAATTTATCTGCCACGCTGAGGTTCCGGGTTCGATTCCCGAGCAAACATCCGTTGTATGGACTACATTTATTTCCCTCGTGAGTTTGAGTTGTAATTAATTTGGACTATGAGTATTTGCGTTATTTATATGTATATATTAATTAGAAGTTTTACTTAGTTAAAAATATCCATCATAACAGATACTCGTCTTCCATAAATACTGTGCGTTAATGAATTCTTACTTGTACGGGATTTTTTATTGAATACTTACGTTACGAAATGCTTTAGATACTTACTTATTAGGAGCATACGTAAACCTATTTTCTTCATCACCCTCCTTGATGATGTCGTATGTATGTAGATGAAATGGATCACTTGCACATATAATACTTCGCCATTCGTCTTCGTGTATTTTATAGTTTGGTATTTATGTCACTCCTCACAGTATAATATACGTGCCCACTAAAATTGTAGTCTGCTTTCGAAGTTTTTGTCCTTTCAGTTAGAAAAAAAACGACTTATTTTTTGTTCATACTTACAAAATATTATTTTTTACGTTTTATTTTTTTGCAAGCTATATTCATGTGCAAGTGTTTTCTAGTTATTATACTGTGTCGTGTGTTTAGTTCGTGGTATATGCGTAGTAATTTGTAAGGTTGCCTGGAGGAGATCGCTGTCTAGCGATGAAGCCGCCGATTGTACCTTTGACTGTTTTATATTGTCACTGTTTTTATTTTGTGTGCAATAAAGCTTATTCTATTCTATATGCGAGTATAGGTATATATTTTTTATTGTGTGAAATATATTTGAAATCCTATAAGAATTACATTTTTTTTATTTTCTTAAGTTCATAGGATTGAAGGAATGCCGAAGCAGGAATACCGGGACAGGGTGATATAAATTTAAAAAAATATCATTTTTTTTAGTAGCTCCAGGCAGATATTTGGATACATTTCTAAATGCGTACCCCGCAGGTACACAATCACAGTTTCAGACTCTAATTAATTAGCCAACCCCCGAATTACACCGAAAGTATAAAAATCACAATCAATTAGCCAAAATTCTGCCTAGAAACAACTTCGTTTATTTATATTTAATCATTAATCTTAATGTTTTCGATACACATAATTAATTAAGGAACAAAAACCAAAAACTTTTCTCCTCATTACAATAGTATCCAAAAAATAGACGTGGTAAGTACACATGTCCTTAAAGAACGCCGCTTCAAAGATCGCAGAGGGCAATATTAATATTAGGCGGAATCTATGTTGCGCCCTACATTCTCTGTAGCGGCGCGCGGGCCACCGCCGCCGCAGCCCAGGGCGTCCCCGTGCGATTTAATCGAGACACACGCGGACCCCCAACCCTCAGCAAACCACCAAAAACAACCAATCGAACTCAAGAAAAAAACATAGACATCCTTCGAATGGTCCCACACCACAGGCGGCGGTTAGATCTTCCCTTACAATTAACGGATACTATACAAAGAAAAAGTAAAATTAAACTATAAATGACTTAATCATCCCAACCTTATGTATAAAATTTACAAACCAAGTTGCTTTTTTTCCATTTGGCAATGGTGGAAATGTGCCTTGTCACAATATAATGTGCTGTAATTTTTATATTTTTTCCAACACCTTGTCTGTCTACCAATCATAAAGCTGTCAATCCTTATCAATATACTTTTAACTACTGACTTTTTCTTATGTGAAATCTATTAAATTTTTAACACTGTATAATATCACCACAATAAGAAACCGATTTCACTTTTGGACAACTAAATCGTCATGTATTATCTTTATTATTTATGTCAAGATAAGATTAACAAAAAAAAAATTAAATGCAGGTACAACATTCGAGAATTCGATACTCTCCATTTAAGAAAACTAAACAATTACTAGAAAAAAAACTTGTTTATAAAAAGTTGACGTACATCTATGCTCTATTTCTATTATGTACATATTACAGCTAGTGGAAGATAAACTGCGAACCTTTAACACGATATCTATAACTCCTCGTGTACCGCTACCTACAGAACAACGCTATAATCCTACATAATATTTCTCACAAAAAATATTTCTTGCAACTAATTCGAGTATAAACCTAATTATCTATATGTATATGTACATAGCAAGGCACATTCCGCACACAATTAAAGCCCTCAAACGTAACTGCTGACCATGTGCTTGATAAAACATCAACCTCTATCTTAAGACCTGAAATACATAATGAAAAAATTTATAAAAATTGCATTGATCATTTGAGGCGGAGATTGAATGACTTTTACGTTTTTTTTAAAAACAATCCAACACGGTCGCGTTCATTTTGGTCAGGCTTTATTGAATTTTAATCATCATCGCGAATACATTACTTACTTACTGCAATATTATTTAATAAAGAAAATGCAAAATTTACTATTAGTAGGTACTATAAGGAACTATGTCGTGGTTATTTTTCATGTTACTACACCGTAAGACTATTTTGATTGTATAGATTTTGATGTTATTATCAAAATACACAGTCTATTTTTTAATAACACATGTATTTTAGTCACTGAGATTATAATATCTATTCACTGTATTTAGTACGTCAATTGGACATAAATATGCGTGTAACGTATATTAACATTAAATGATAAATTGCGTTCATTTTATTCCCAAAAATGGCGAATAAATTAAATTTCAGATTACACTAAGCGATGTTATATGATATACATATAATATTAAGTGATAGTCATACATACAAATATGTAAGTGCAAGTAACCTGTCTTTTAAAATGCGCGAGCGATAGCAAGTGGTCAAAAATAAAAATTGGTTTTAGAAAAGCGAATTGTTGCTACTTACATTGCTCGCGCACTCTGAAGTACATGGCAAAACGTACATGATAAAATTACACAATTTATTAATCATAATTTTAAGTGAAACATCTTTCACGTACAAAGCTGTGTTGGTGCTATATCTGTACATACATATGAATAAATTAATCGCTTTAAAAACTGGTCCAATGCGGTGAAAAATTACAAATTTTATTGTAAAATAGTAAAACTGGGAGTTAATTGCGACTAAATGTAAACAAAAAGAAAAACATTAAAAGGTGTTAAATTTTACAAAATAACAAAACACTACAAAACCGTAAGCTAACTTACCTATAAATGTAGTTTAAACTTATAATAATATCAAGTTAAAACAATATTTATCACTTTTCCCGTTTCTGCGTGAATACGCACGCAAAACGGGACGAATTAGAAAATCCAACGAACCGGGCCGAAAACATATATAGGGGCCAACACTCCAAAACGTTTCTTAAAGCCAACAACAGCCACCTCTGCCTAACTAATAAATTCAGGACTACCTTCACTCCCCATCTTATATTTACAGCTTTGACAAACTTGCGAATCAAAAGGTGCATGTGACATGACTCTGCAGTACACAACTCGATTCATCGGTGTTTCTTTTTTGAAGGTTCAGTAAAATTTCTTCAATGCCATAAGAAATAATGTGTAACAAATTCATATTGTTTCCGTCTCCATCAACGGGGAGTAAATCTGTTATGCGCTATGTCAACTATGAATACTTTAATCATAATTCAAAAACTTTTTAGAGGTATAACCAGTCTACTAGTTCACGAAGCAGTCTGTAACTATTAAGATATTTTACTGAAGACCAAGGATTTTTATCGTTAAAACAGTTTTATGGCTCACTTTGGCACTGCAAAATATTGTTTGAGCAAAACAAACCGACATATTGCTTTACAACTCTGTACTCTCTTTACATTCCCACAGAAGCAGAGTAAGCCGTAAAAGCTGACTTTTAAAATTTTAAAAATTAAAATTCCTGCCTAACCGCTTGTAGAAACTGCATGTGCGAACACGGCCACGAGGAACTAGTTAAACAATAAGGTTGTTCTTCGTCACCGCATTGAGAGCACAAAGGATTAAATGTCCATTTTGACGCGCTGGGAAAATTTGCATTGAAAGTTACCAGTTTGTCGAGCGGACGCAGAAGTTTCACAAAGCGAACTCCAATCATGCAGATCCGAGCGCTCAATATGCTCGATGATAGCGCGTAGAAAGTGCCATACGCAGCTTCTTTAGCTTGGTGACCAGCTTGGCCTGCTGTTTCTTGAGATACTCCCGTTCCACGTCCTCGTCTCTGAGCTTGCGGCACAACGCGGCCGCTTCGCGGAGGATCACAACTTTGGGCGCACGATCTTTATCTCTTGTCGCGGGTATCTGCTTTTTAAGTTCATCAAAGAGATTTTTGAGGCCTATCCGTCGTAAGCGTTCCATGTCGTTGTGTATTGAGCGGCGTTCGATCTCTGGAGACTCGGCCTCAGAGTCGGTGTCAGTGTTGGAGCGGCGACCGCGGCGGCCGGGCCCGCGGGCCCTCCTGCGAGGAACAGAGGTTACCGTTGATGGCGGAACGAGGCGTTTTCTAGCAGCTGGACGCGGAGTCATCGAGGCGGCTACAGTACGCTGTATTTGCTGGCGCTCCTGGGCAGAGGGCGTGCGCGGCAAGCTATCAGTGCGCACGTGAGAAGTGGACGCCAGTGGTTGCTGCGACGATGTACCCAAGGAGACCACGTCTATTTCTTCCTCTGCAACAATGGAAATGATGGTTAGAATTATGTGACCATTTTGATATTTGACTTCGTGGTCTTATAGATTACGAACTTAATCATGTCAAAATTTTTCAGCACAAATAAAATAAAACTAGGAGCGCTTTTTGTTTAAATGGTGCTTTATTCATTGTGATTACGTTCATTACATCCGCATCGCCATAAAAAGCGGGCGTAGTGATTGTCAGAGACGCGACTATTCTATACATAAGTATGGGTCTAGATCTAGCCGATGCGGGATGCGACTGCAGTAGTCAGGTGGATGGGAAGGGGTGAGGTGGTGCACGGTGGGGGGTCGGGCGTCGACCCCGCCGTACTACCGCAGCGTCTGCCGCCATCGATCCAGACGCCTGACGTCACGGCGCGCCATTCGCGCCAAAACGAGCGCGCGTGCGTGCTGAGCTGCCGCAGCGTCCGCACTCAATGGACTCGGGATTATCAACCGGTGGACGGCTTCCGGCCCCAGCCACTACCATTTAACAAAGCACAACTCGGAATGAGCTGTCACGCTACGCCGCTACGATAACGCCCGACTTTAACACATTTCCCAGCGAAATTGATATGCCAATCTGTTACCTAATGCTTGTCGAACTGGTATACGGCCGCTCGCTGCTATGCAGAACTGTCGCTATCGGTCCAGGTACGGCTGTTGCTAAGCCCAATTTGTGGGAGACGTACGGAGTTGCATGGCGTCAACCGTGACTACCTCAACACGGGCGCCTCCCAGTTATAATATTCCTGCTTTATCTGGAGCCAAAGCCATAGGGCGTAGGGTTCCCAAATGAGCAGGTTCAGCTAGTAATACACCTAGTCAGATTGATTACTGTTTTTATGTAACGTGAGTCGTGCTGCGGAAACGCGGCCTGAATTCCATTCGCTTCTGCAAGGAATGCAATACGGCGGTGCGGCGCAGCTAGCGACGGGAGACGTTTGCGGCGCTAAGTCGACGGTTCATTTCTATGAATGAGTTAGGTAGGTGGCGTCGTGTTTGCGATCGCATTGCTCGTGTATAATGCCACGGATATGGCCTTTGTCAGCGTCGTCGTGTTTACGTCGTAGCGCATGTTTCGCGGAATACGTGCGACCACACTATCCGGTTACGCCAACAAATAATTATGTCAGCGGTTCATTGTGATTAAAGGTTACCGACTATGCTATGTCCGATACCTGCAATAAAGCGGTACTAATAAAGTGGAAAATCATCGATTACGTCTAATAGAGATTGGAAATAGAAGCTACTCATATTATTTAAACCTAGTTTTTGTTTCTAGTATTTAAGCTTTTATGGTACCTTACCTGTATATTTTAACTTACAGGCTAATAAATAAAATTCTAATAGAAGCAAGTTAAGTGGGCAGCTGTTCGCTGATTACTAAACGATCAGAGTCAGGGACGTTCGCGAAATAGGTTCTTTCTGAAAGTGCGCAGTTTAGTAAAGAAATTGCGTTGCAGACACATTATCGACCTGAGCGACGATAAATTTACACACCCACGCAATCTTTTTATTTGATTTCCGCATAGTTACGCGGTCGGTTATCGCAGTTGCGCGTCGATCTAATTCGGTACGTATCGGGTAGGATTTGCGCGACAACGCCCATCGCCAAACATGCGACGTCGCGGCGTGGTGTCTGCTGTGGGCGAGTCGAGTTGGCGTACACCTATTGCGTTGGGCCGACGGAGTCGATTTCCACATGAGACGTGACGATTTTCTCTCTGGCGCCCGCCGCGATTAACGGTCACTCGACGTATTTGTTTCAGCCCGTGTGTAAAAGATACGGCTCGGCATTGTCGCGGTGCGCCGCCGCCGGGCTCCGGTCTAGTGCATATCTATTATATCTTCATCACTCTAGGCGCGACTCTCAGATGCGCCGCCGTTCCAATTTTAAAAGATACCAGAGATAATCCGCTTTTTATTGTTCAGTGAAGACCGTCCTTGGAAGCGGAAAAATGCAAGCTTTTAAAGTCCTTTTTGACTGTCTGCCCGGACTTTTGGTTTTATTTCCACTTAAAATATTATTGAAAGAGTTGAAACTTAAAAACACAAATACTTCTAATTGAAAATTTGTAATCACATTTATCGTAACCATAGATAATATGACTTATTAGACAGAATAGATGAAGTCTTTTGAATATGAAATCGTATCTTCGGAAACTCCAGACTCGATTACTCATTACTTCTAGGTAGTCTATACCTCACCGTGAGAAATTCAATGAGTCATAGATTCGCACACTTGAGTACCCAATGACACCTGCCAGTGAGAGTATCAGGTACAAATTCTTCGTCAGGCATTTGTAATGAAATAAAAAATCCCCATCTATAAATAGTAGGTTGTAATATTTTAAATATTAACATTTTTTCGTCGTCAACACAAGACTGCTAGGTAATATGAAACAGGTGACAAATAGAAGCGGGAGGCGTTCAAAAAGGCAATGTGTGTAGTGTCGTCAAGTGTGACCTGTTAAGACGGGGGCCGCGCATGCTCCGCTGGCCATGGCTGTGAGGCCAAGTTCACTGGCATTTGAGCGCGATAATTAAAAATTATCGTGACGCGCACGCGGCGCACGCCATCTTTATACAGCCAGTACTTTAAAAAAACACGAGTGGCAACTGAATTCCAAAAAGTTGAGAACCTGTTTGAAGGGCCTCATTTATCTATTTTAAATAACGAACGGAAGTTATTGCGTGCTCAATATATCAGATAAAAGATATCTATGGGGACTTTTGAAATTATCAGAAATTTAAAGATAACCTATATATTTAAGTAATGAATGTCATAGGTTGTTTTCTCTTTTTATTTGTTACAGCGCCCTGTAGAACTATACATAATACGTACGATGCTAATTAAGCTGAATACAGGCCAAGCGGTAAGAAGTTACTGTCTTATAATTTTTATCATTAAATTTCTCATTATCCCACGAAGCCTTAAACGGAAACCGTTCAGCCTTATACACTTACTAATTAAGTTTTTTGATTCATTATTATCGCTTGTGTGCTTGCTTCCTTTTGTCCAATAAATGTTAATTCTTTTATATTATTATATGGTATTCTAATTTAAAAATTTTGAAATCGAGAGTTTTTTTCTAACGTGTAAGATACAAATTAGTGTAGGGCACAACTTGCACTATGTGTTACTGTGAAAATTTATTAAAGGGGGTTATTCTGTGTAGGCCGTGGTTATTTCGAATGTGTTACGCAATCGCGAAAAGTCGGTCATCTGGCCTGTACCACTCAAGATTGCCGGCAGACTAAAATAGTCGTGTATAATGTATGATTCGAGTTAGACCACACGTGAGTTTTCTAAGTCAGGATTTCTTAGAATTTTAAATGACAAACATTAAGATTCTGTATTTTTCTATTAATTCGGGACTTAGCGACTAGTACTTTGGAAAATTATATTTAAGCTCTAATCAATTACGTAAAATCGTAATTGATAGTGATATGAAATTTTTAAACAAGTTTAAACTTAGAATTCTAAAATCCTTGGATCGATCACTCGTTCGACCAATGTACCTAGGTATTGGTATTGGAAGCAAAATTATCGTGAATCACAGTGTTATTTTGATTTTCGTTCACTCGTATAAAATGTCCGCGTTTAACGAATTTTATGGTAGGCCTAAGTATGGGTATCTTGGCGGATCGATCGGCACCATCCGTCGGCCTTGGCGAAGTTCATGCGGAAGTTCATGGGCACAGCTACTTGTGAAAAAACATTTGATTGGCCAATTCGCGATTATTAAGCGGAAGAGTCAAAAACCCACACTCATATACTAGATGCATCACAGACCACATAAGAAGCACTATACATTGGAATATTTATAAATATACGGCGTAATAAGTTAGTTAACTTTGTCAAGTTGAATTTCGAATTAGACTATTATAAGAATTTAGAAAACGATTTCTGACCAGACTGCCAATTAATTAAAACGATAAGCTATTTATTCCGTAGTGCAAATTAATTAAATTTTTAACCTTATCACCACGCCCATTTTCGGCCAAATTTCGGCATATTGATCCAGATGTTACACTGATATTTTATTGCCGTAATAAAACACATTTAAATGTTCATCACGTAAGTAATTAATTTATGCAAAGTGCGCAATGGAAAAATCGGCCAAAATTATCATCACGGGGTTGACAGTAGAGATCAAGGAGCAATTTCGGTATTATCTAGTTGCCGTCTAAATTATCAGTTGGTTGAGGCTTTTTTCTTTGATAATACAAATTTATGTTAGGGTGTCACATTGCCGACTTATCGGCATTGATAAGTCGCGAAGGCCGCGTAGAGGCCAATATGGCGCTTTGTGACCGTGTCATTCTTAAATTGACATTTCAATTGCTATGATAGATAACAATAATAAGTACGAGTACCTTTGAGAATACACCTCTTCTATAACTACACGGTGCGGTCGTCCGCATAGCGTACGTTGTCAAATACTGTAGATTATTCAAAAAACGCAGTAGGTACATACAAACAGATAAAATACGCATAAAGATAAAAGAGCGCACAAAAGACGGCATAGTAAGTTGTATTGCATACACGTGACTTTAAATGTCTTGAATGCATATTCTTGATAACACCAAGGTCGTTTACACTATACATTATTATTATAAATCTAATGTTGAAACATACATACGCGTGGCGAATGACTGTATAAAGTAGCGAATTTGAGTTATGCGGCATTAAAAAAGTAACATTTTATGATCTGACTTGGTCAGGTGACCGCGTCAGCGGCTTGATAATTTCACTTTTAGTAAAGCGATCGCGTCCATTCGTGTGATAACATAATAAGCCTCTAGGTATTACCTGTCACATGTTGCTAGTAAGAATCTAGGTAGGCTAGTCAAAACCAGTACAATATTTAGGTCATTGCTTCAAGTACAGAAAGTAAGTGCCGCAATTGGTTTAAGCTAAGCGCCCTGAACATTTACCGTGCATAGTAACCCAATTAAATGCGTGTTAAAATAAAATTCCACGGTACTCGTTACTAACAGATGAATATTGGAATTAACTACTTAATTATACTGGTGATATTTCAGTAAAGGCGCCATGATTCTGTAGCCAAAGTTTCGTGCGCTGACGACAAACTGACGAAAAGCTGTTAAAAAATATAAATCGTTCTCTTTTTGAAACTCAATAAACAGTATGATTTTTAGCCCTTATTAGGTATATTATTTAATGGCTTAACAATATTGTTTACCGTTGCCTTTTTTTTTATTTTCTACGTAGTGTATTAAATTTTTATACGTGATGTTAATTATGGAATTGTAAACCAATAAATTTAACTATGTACAATCCAAATATAGTTAAGGCCTAGGAATGTAGCACACAGCCTTGCCTCTCTGATTGATACCGAGTGTTTAGGACCGAACGAACCGGACTTAAACGCCCTAAATTGCCTTATAGAAACTCAATTCGTCCAGCGAAACGCCCCAGTTGCTAGTATTTTAAAATACCATTCATCATGGCCGCGCAGTCTATCAAACAAAAATAGGTCTAATGCACCTCGGGTTTTATTTTAATTCTCAACGTGTTTTACCATTGAAATACAGTTTACTTAAAATTTACAGGCGCCAAATAGTGCAAAGTAAATATAAAGCTGAAAAGTTGTGAAATAACCAAAGTTTACACCTTCATAAAAAAGACATAAAATCGTGTTATTCAAAGAATCTCGGATGCGACTGCGACGGTGAAGATTTTGATAATAAACATGATTTATTATCTAGAACGCGTCGTCTACACAGTTATAGGTAAACAGACCGCCGCAGCAGGAATCTTTGCGATAAAACAAAATTACAATCCAGGTAGTCACGGCAAAGAAAATTGGCGCGAAAATGGTGACAACTTTGACCGTACAGTTTGTTGCGTGGCGTACCGGCACGATAAAACCGCACATGCGTCGTTAATTTTTACCGCGCTCGCCGAGTAGTGATGGGACTCGGACCGTTTCGAATCTTTTAATCGAGTACCATCGACATAAAAATCGAAAACTTTACAATAAAAAGTCAATAAAATTTATCATCAATTACGATAAAATTGCATCCTTTAAACGTCTGGCATGCAGAATCACCTTATGACAACGTAGTAACGTTCAATCGCGTTTACTGAGGTGCTGCCTATCAAATTGTCATCCAACCGGGCTAGACATGGGAGTACCGCGTCTCCAAACCGGTCTGGCAGGCCAGGCGAGCTCCACTTCAATGAGATTCCATTTCATTTCGCTGCATTCTTATGCGAGTAACGGACTAGACGCGGCGAGTCTGCCGAGACACAACTGTAAACCGCGTACTGCTTTATTTTTAACACAGAAAGCAATACTTATGATTCACAATTACTTTATACTTCCGACTAGTTGTTTATTAGAACAAAATCTGCGCAACAAGTTGATTTGTAAACAAGCCGTATTAACATACGGCCAAAGCGACCTTTCCGACTGTTATCTACGATAGTTAAAGCGCAAAACGATAAATATTACATTGTACTACATGCTAGGTATATTGTACAACGACAATTTGTGTAATGTTCTAGTTCAAATAAATGGTAACATTAGGTCAGCTTTAGACAAACACAATTATGATTATGACAAGTTAAATTAAATATATTGGAAATGAAAGTGTGGTTAACCTTTAATCAAATAAATCAATTTCTAATCCCCGATTAAATAACAAATAGAAAGTTACTAACTGGTCTAGCATATTCGAATTTGGTAGACAACATACATCAAACTAATGGAACAAGAGGATGTTAACCCTGCCACAATCGGGGGAAGCGCCAATTCGCAGTTGGAGGATGCGTCAAGGTCGGGACGTCTCGGTCGACGTACCGGCGACCTTAGTCCTGTCCTAAACCCAGGTCACCCCGAGACCTTTCACAGTGACCCAAGTACAGTAAACAACGTTAATCCGTATTCTAATTGAGCGTGTCAATCCCGCGAAATAAGTCGACGGGTAAGGTTGCGCAATTTGACATTAAGGAAGGTTGGGGTGTTCAAGGTCGCAATGGGCGAAGGTTCCGGAAGAGATGAGTAGCGGGTGCGTCTAGACGCGGAGGGGGACTCGTGGCGGTCGATACTCGCAGTTTCCCGCGCTCGCAGTACTACGCCTGCGTCCTGCCACCCTCCGGCATCCCGGATAAACTTTGTCTACTCAAGAAACATTTACCCGCGCGGCTTCGCTAAACAGCCTTTCGATCAGAAGTCAAAGTTGACGCTCACTTTTCACATTTAAACTTTAGGGTGTATCCTTTAAGAAACATTTGCAAGTAAACCATTCGGACGTCATCAACGACGACCCTCCAATAAGAAATAGAAAAATGAAAAAGATAATATCAGCCTTATTAGACTGGTACATAGCAGATCAGTTGTATATGAGAAAATTTCCAATAAGCCGATGTGACCCTGACAACCAATCACATGAATTTTAAGTAAACACACAAAACACCGGGACACGACGATCTTAAACAATCATATCGAAATTTTAATTAACGAGGCAATTGTGAACGTATGTTGATCCTGTTTTGGTTCTTATCAAAATGATCAAGAACCATTCAACGGAGAAATGAGTACTTAAAAGATGTTACTTGAAATAATAAAAATAAAACTGCTGACGTACTAATAATGTTTTTGATGTATTTTTAATGTCTTACTGACCTGATTCGCAGGAATCTGATGGTGTCTGGACGCCGAGGTAGTCGAAATGTTGCCGAGCGAGAGTATACGAGTGGTCAGCGGCGACGACGGCGGAATCCCTGAGCAGACGTAGGGCTGTGCCAGCCACGTCGACGGCGTGGCGGAACTGCGGAGGTTCGTCTCCGTCCAGTGAAGGCGGTGTATCAGGTCTAGCCGGTGACATGTCTCGTCGCAACAGGCTTTGTCCAGGTGCTGGCGGCATCAAGTCAGTGGGTACGAAAGTATTGCTTGGATGCACAGAATCAATGCAGGAGCCCGCCCACATGCAATCATGATGGACTATGTTTTCTTTTTTGTGCACCTCCTCCTGTGCTTCTATGATCCTCCAATCCTCGTCGCTCTCCTGCGCATCTTGCGAATCAGCGGGCGGTACTAAATCCAATCTCTCTGCTTCATAGTGTACTTGGGTCCAGAATTCAGATGTCTGTGTCAACTCCATGGACTCCTCGTCCAAAGTTTCCCATATGTCGAATTGAAATATATCAAGCGGCGGCGACATTTTTGTATTTATAACTAAAGACTAACTAGTTTTAAAGCTAAGACGAACTCGTCGATATCACAGTGCCCTCTTATCACACGACGATGCGCGCGATGGGATCAACGCACACCGTCTGCAACAATAGAAAAATAAACTTAAATTCTATCTCTTGAAAAAACAAAGCCAAGACTTAAAATCCCAAGCAGGTACTCATCTATGAAATAAAAATTAAAAATTGCAATTTAAAAACGTTTTAAATTTTTTTTATGAAATAATTCCAAGTTCCAAAAACCCACCTAATAAAATTATTATTTTGTTCGTAATGATGAAGAAGATATTAATTTAAAAACTATACACCAGCCACTTTAATCTTTATATTGTACACTACCTCCAATAAACTACACAACGTAAAAAAAGACTAGATCGTTTTAAACAAGGGGGCTGTTGACCCTTTGTATTTACAAACAACTCCTGAGATTCCAAAGTGCACGTAAAGTGGGAAGTGTCCACGTCGGAGTACGAAACCAGACTGAAGTCTGGATGCGAAACCGAACAGTTTTAAAGAGTACTTTGGCCTTGGATCTGGATCCCACTTTTGTCTAAGAACAATTAGTCTGTACCTGACCCACGGTTTTTACTCAAAAATTTACCTGGCGCATCACTACAGTTCGGAGAAATTTTTGCGCGGCACGCAGGTAGACAGTTTCCGCTAAATTGTTTTTGTTTACAAACGATGAGTGGGGCGAAATTATTGTTTACCAATAGACGGCGTTGGCGCGATTTTCCCGCTGTTTACAATTTCACAGAATCATCGCATGAAGACACTATGGTTACATAGTTTACGTAATAAGGCGGCAGAATTTTTAACTACGCAACATTGTCAAAATTTAATTAGTGCAAAAAAATAAATAAAACGACATTTATACATACGTTATATAAAATTAAATTAAATATTTTTCAAAGTTATTAACATACTTTACGTAAAGTAATGGTGCGATAGAATTTTAAACTTCATAACTGTGGCACGCTCATTTAAGTGATTTTAATTCATGCATACCACAATATGCATGCGACAATAAAATAACATCTTAATAATCGCTATACCAACAAAAGGTACATTAATATTTTCTAAGTTTGTTCTTGGGATGATAAGCAATTTTTTCAGTAAAATTTTATAGCTCCAAAGTTGCACAGGAATAAATATAATAATTATTCATTTTGTTAATTTTCAACAATAAAACAAAGTCTGAGAAAAAAACATTTTTTACAAATGTCCAAAAGTTTTTTACGCTAGAATTTTAAGTAAAATGCTCATCTCATACGGTAATAAATTTGTAAATTATTAAATCATTCATGTACGTAGTAACTAATCTCTCACATTACATTTAAGCAATACTGACCTACCCAAAGACACTGGCTAAATCCGGCTCGTATGTAGGTAATATACCTATGCCTTACGTTTAGTATAGATCTATTGGTTGAAATAAAATTTATAATTGTCATTTGCATACTTAACAAGTCTCAATGAACATTTTTTATTACACCAATGTATAGGTTTTAATAAATTTGGAATATTTAATTTTATTACAAATTAATGGTGAAACATTATAAACATTGTTGCTTTCAAAATATTGTGTAACATAAAGGTAAACAAGTAATACCTATCTAAGTAATTGCACCCACATAAGTGCCGGCTACGTAGGTATACATAATATTAGGACACGACTTTAGTTTCATAACCGAAAATGTTATTGCGAAATATCAATGGTTTTGGACACTTGGAATGAATGTTCCTAAGCCTACCCTACACCATTTAAGTTGAAAAAAAAATTTGCAAAAATTTGCTAAGTACCCGCTAAGTCGTTAAGTCTTGGAAATCATCAATAATATCAGCGAACACTCGTCACACTGACAACAATGCGAAGAATTTAGGCGCTAGCGATTCGCGGAAAAATCTATTACACCACGGTTTACTAGCCAATGTACCGGCAACGCCCCGCCATACCCGGCCGGCGCCTTGGCCTGACTCACTTATAACTACCCACAAATACTAATATTGTTCACGATTTCCAACACCCATAAATCACTACATCAACCTAATCAAAGCAATAACAATTAAATGAAAAGTAACACTCACCAAAAAAGTTTGTGCAAAATGCAATCCGGCAGCGGCCGGCGATTACACAATTTTACACAAGATTTTTCAGAATCTTCGACAAAGTTTTTTTCTTACACACTGCGTAACACTCACTGAGAATATGCGATTGGTTATACAGTGTAAATTGAATACGGTACTTCTTCCGAGACCTCCGATTGAGTTTGTCAAACACTGCATTATTTGCGAGCCGGCCGGTTCAAAGGGAAGCCGCGCGTGCGATCTGTAGAGCGCCGTGGACACAACTAGGTTCACGAGCAGTGTTTCGCGCGGAGTCGTGAGCGCGACCGGCAGCGGCCGGCGGCGACGCGGCGGCGGCGCGCGGCAGTACCGGCTTGCCCCCCGCACCCCGCAGCCGGCGCCCGCTCACCTAGCGCCGCCGGTTCCTTTCCATTCACGAAATTCTCTGAAAATACGCGCCTTCCATCCGATAACTAACAGCACATCATCTGACAATCATCCCTTTAGTTTATTTTTGCAGGCTTCTATGGGAAATCATTGCCAAAATCAAGGATTTGGCCATACAGGCGGCGTCTTAATGGAGGGGGTCGTACGAGGAAGGAAATCAGCGCAGCGGCATTCGAAGAATACCTTCGCCGGGTTTGAGTGTGTGAGTGGAGCGTGAGACTGTGTGAGGGCGCGGTGTTGGGAGGGAAATCGAGGAGGCGACGGACGCTAGCTAAGTGGGTAGGTATACAGCTCAGTCGGCGGTCGGTGTGGCGAGTCGTGTGCAGGGCGTATGTCGTAGTTAACGGGCAGCTGCCGATATCGAAGCTAGCCCGTCGGCATTCCTCAGGTTATGGCGCGAAGCAAAAATAACTGAGCGATTGTGATGAATTGCCACGCATATTTTGCTCGTCTTCGCTGTACAAATTACCATTGGTCTCTTGTTTATGACGGGACATCTTTTAGGACTGGGCTGGACCGAAGCTTCATTCCTTACACCATAATTTTTTTGATGGTAGGTTATCTAATTCTAGTCGCTTTCTTTTTCGTACTGTGGTAGAAGAAAATAAGTACAATAATTGAACAATCTTAAGTAATGATTTCTGGGAAGCACACCACTTTATACCACTCAAAATGCTGCAGTAAAATGATAATTAAAATACGTGAAATTATCCAAAGTGTTTTCATCAACTACGTATTTGTTAATAAGTAGGTACACATTTATGTTATAATAAAGTCGAAGTATATGTTTTGGATAACATTTAAACTTGTTACTTTAAAGGAGGGCAGTAATGAGCCTACGTCAAATTGTAACCTCCAAAAATAAGATCTACTGGCCTTAACATAGCATATCGTATAGGTCATAAAATCCACTTTCCCACCACACGTTACGATCACCTCGCATACTTTTGAATTGTAGTCGATTAGAAGTAAAAATCTGCATCAACGCTTACGTTACGACTAGGGTTACACTTTTGCACAGAAATATCGGCTTCTATTTAGCATTTGCTAAAATTCCTGTTATGCTAATGCTAATTCCGCACTACATCTTAACTTGCTTTACTAAGTACATTATCTATTGTCATTATATATTATCATTATCTATTATCATTCTCTATTATCATTGTCTATTATCATTGTCTATTATCATTATCTATTATCATTATCTATTATGAAACTTACACTTTAAAGAGTATGTTTAAGACATACGCGTATTGTTTAAATTTAATATTCGACTTCGGCTTCGGCTTCCCGAAGGCCACTTAAGACACTGGCACTGGTTACAACTAATAAAAGTCCTGCGTACTGATGGTGCAGTAAAACGCCTCGATGTTTATACATTCTTTATGTGAAATCATAAATGTAATGATACTAAATTTAGCATCACTTTGAGCTCATGTTCATACAAATTAGGAATATTTGTGTGTATATATCATATACATGATATATGTATACACACAATCGTCGTCTAAAATCATAAACCTCCATTAATGAAACTTTTAAGAGGCACAAATAACAATTATGTTAATTTCTAGTAATTGTAGATATAATTATATGACAATCTATAATTTTATCTTCATTTTATGACTAAAAAACGATCTAGAAATTATATTTTAAACTTTATTTGCCCGATATTGCGCTTGAAGAATAAAAAAGGGATTCGTTCAAAAACGGAGTTGCGAGATTTTAAAATTTTGGCAGCGTTATGTATATTCAGGAATTGTATATACCTTACCGTCCAAAAAAAAGCACAAATGACTAAATCAATTCTCAATGTTTTTCCAATTTTCTATAAATATTTTATATCCAGTTAAAATATATTTTTTATTGATTTAAGATGATTGCTATGCATTAAAAAATCCGTAGATACTCATGTGACCTTTGGTTACGTGTATTTCCCGTAACCAACACCTCTCCCCATCTGCTGCATTGTTAGATAAACCGTAACAAAATTAGATCCCGCTCGCCCCGAAATCAACCCTTTTACAGTAACCCTTCAATTAATTTCACATTCATGGGACCCTTTAAAGAAAATACAAAAAATAGATAAGCAGGAAGTTAAAGAATACGAAAACTAACCGGAGCAGACAGACAATGCTACTTATCCTCTAATTTAAATGTTTATTTTAAAGTCAATCGACATTAAACTCTACGTGTTTAAAAATAAAATACCTATGTTTTTTTTTAAATAGGGTAATGAAAACCAGTTCTGATCCGAGAGTCAAAACATTTGTCTAGGGTTGGCAAAACTCATGTTGTACAGCCTGTCAGTAAATTGACAGGTAAATCGTTATGATGATCAAAATGAATATCTTGTTAAATTTAAAAAGAGTTACGTACACTTCAAGTGTCTGTATTTGTAGTTATAAATTCTGTTACATTTGTTGCGTCGTTAAAATAAATATTATAATTTTCTCCAGCCGTAAATTCTCTTTTAAATCGCGCTAGGTAGTTTTAAAAGGATTTTTGCATTATAAATAATTAGGGGTTAATTAGATAGATGTCTTGCTTACGATTTAGTTAACTAATACGAAAGACGATTAATAAATTCACTCAAGTTGTTATCGTCATGGATTACTAATTACGCTATAAGTTTAATGCTTAATGTGCGACTTTGTGCATACATAATAGATTGTCTATAGATAATAAATAACATGTAATTATGCAATGTGAAACTTATTAACCAGGGTTTGAAATTGTCAAGACATTTATTTTCTTTGATAATTATTATGATAATTATCTGATAATGATGCGATATATATACGATAATTATCCACACTGATTCCTAATTTTATCAGTTAGAAAATAAAAAATCTCTGGGACAACGTTAGGAATGTGACTTTTTAACCGACTTAAAAAAAGGAGGAGGTTCTCAATTCGTCTGTATGGTTTTTGTATGAATGTCACGCGATAGCCGATTTGGGTGATTCTTTTTTTTTTAGAAAGAGCCTCAGAGTGGTGCCTCAATATTGGTTCCATTTAAATTTGAAGAAAAAATCCACCTCAAAGTGGCAAAATCCCCTATTTTGCCACTTTGAGGTGGATGGAAGAACCCGTTTTCGCGCACTTTCCGGTAACTGATTTTCAATAAAACTTGGCAAATAGATGTAATTCCAGAGCCTTTGAAGTCTTTTTTTATTTGAGACTATATTATATAAATTAAATTTTTATTGAATTTATATTCAATTATTTTTTGTGAAATTACTCCACTAGTTTGTTATAATTATTAATACAAAGATCGAACACTCAGAAAAAACACTCAGAAAAAATTCCTTCGATCCGGTCGGATTCGAACCGACGTCCTCTTGCATACCGTGCCAGACGCTATACCAACTAAGCCACGGAACGAACCAACTATATTATATATATATTTTACACAATATATATGTCGTTGGATTCGTCTCAGGTTCTGTACTCCCACTCTCCATCCGAAACAATTACTGTCAAATTAACACACGCATGATGCGAACGAAGCTTCACTCCTGACATTGTCTTTTAGTCGAGTATTACTTATTTGGCAGTAATTGTATTAGACGGACGTCTGTTGGGGAACGAGAGCAGACTTCCTGATACAAAACTCATAGCACGTCGTTGCTAGGCAACAGCTTTTTGTTGTTAGTAATGTTACAAATCGTCGGGGATAGTGCAATTACGCGTAACTGGCATTTGATTGAGTCTCCATTCAGGTAATGAAGTCGCCAAATTAAATTCGCGTTAATGTCGTGGCAACCAAATTAATGTGATTTACAGTCTGTCTATAGACAACATAAATTAATGCTTACTGTGCACAAAGCCATTTAAATAACAAAGTAATAACGTTAAATACCTCTCCTGTGGAATTTGGTTTGATCCATACGCGTCTATTACCAATACTTCATTTGCGGATGGATTTGCACTAACCTCGACGAAATATCAAGGTATATTTACGAAGATAATTTATAGTGAATAGTCATCAATTCGAACCTTGTTTTTAATAAATTTCGTGTATTGTAGTAAGTAACCTGTATGTTTCCCGAAATAGATTAAAATCATGTTACTGAACTACATGCAGATGATTACATGACCAAATCCCCGTGTTAATTTTCACGGTTAATTTTCGTCCGTTATCTCTGGTTCACATACTAGCTCGTAAAATTTACAATGTCAACATTCTAAATAGCAATTTCAGTGATAAATAATTTATTTAAATGAAGCCCCGGGCGCCCAGGGTGGCAACTGACAATTTGTCACGACATGAAGAGAGATTATCCTCATTACGTGTTAGAAAGTCGCGTTAATCCTTTTTTTGTTTAGTGCTGCGTAAAAAAAAACATTTGTGTATGACTACATTGTCGTAGGCTATAACCGCATACTTAATTTGAATTATCATGCACTATAAGCATATTAAAAACGACGATATTTTGAAGCAACTGCCATTAAAGGTTACTGAACCTTTTTAAAAAACTTTGTCATAAATCCTGCAACTATTAAAGAAAAAATTTGGTTTATATTTGCACAAACAAATTTTTTGGGGTAAAAGATAAACTGTACCCTTTATCACGGTAGGGAAGATTAGCTGCACCTTGTGAAAATTCCCACGGCCGCCAAGGTACTGACAATAGTCCGCAAGTTTGTGTAGGAGTATCTTAAATTACAAATATTACAACCTTTGTGAGTCCATCACGCGTCGGATTTTGATACGTACACCTGCAATTTTTCATGCATCGCAAAATCGTACATTTTAACAACTGAATTCTAACTCAATAGTAGAATAACTGCTGTACACATCATTGATATAAACACCTTTGTTATAACAGAACTACTAAAAATCAGTGTTCGAAGTAGTAATTATCTTAGATAATTATGAT